ATATATATATATATATATATATATATAAGTGTACACACTTATATCTGCTTATAGAAGTATATATATGCCTATATATTTACTTATACATGCATGTGTAAGTATACACGTTTGCCCCGCATTACTATATCCAATACAAACTGCAGTATTCATTAATAACTTCATCATGCAATATCGTGTGTGCGTTGGAAGGCATTTATAAAAAAGACTGCTTTACTTTTTTTTAATAAACAAATATGTACATATAACAAACAAGAAAACAACAAATATAACAAAATCACACGTAGTAAAACGGGTCGGGAGCCACGTAAACAGGAGCTTCGTCAACGGGCAGCATGGAAATGGGCGCCTTCGGGATGGGGGCTGTTGGAATGGGAGCCACGTAAATGGGAGCCAGATGGACGGGCGCGCCTTGAGGGGGAATGTTTCTCACTGAAACGTCCATGTTGTTTACTCGACTGTCTTCGGAAGGTGATTCTGAACACGACTGAGCAAAATGATATTGTCTCGGCCATAAATACTCGTTAGTCACGGGCATTGGGGAAGGTTCCTCATGGTCTGGTGGAACGGAGGCAAGACTGCGGGAAATAGGGATTGTTGTTCAGTCTAAGAAAAAAAAAAACGATATTATGTCACAGGTAGATTTTGTGTGCTTTTGTTTTAATGTATACATATGATAACATATATATGATTCTATAGATATATAAATATATATATATATATATACAAATATGCAAAGATATATAAATATATATATATATATATATAAATATGTAGAAATATATATATATATATATAAATATATATATATATATAAATATGTAAATATATATATATATAATATGTATATATACAATATATATATATATTATATATATATAATATGTCGTGTGTGTGGTGTGTGTGTGGTGTGTGTGTGTGTGTGTGTGTGTGTACACAAAATATAAATAACGTATTTTTATATTTACATTTATTTAGATATATACATAGATGTGTGTATATATATATGCATATATTATATACACATAATATACATATGTATATATAAATAAAAAATTATGTGTGTGTGCACATATGTGTATATATGTATACATACATACATATATACATGTGTATAAATGTACATGTGTAACTATATACAAATATGTGTATGTGAGCGTCTTTCCGTGAACGGAAGCCCTGGAAACATGCCAGTGCTCCCTAAGATAGAACCTGCCTGAACAAAGCATTATCTGGCTATTGGGTCTTGCTTCAAATAACTAAACAATCCCACGATTGTTAAAGGAAATTGTACTCACCGCATATTTGAAGACTACAAGAAAATGCGTACCTTGGATATGACATTTTCATATACAGCGCCATGGATTTATATACATAGAAAAATAATAAAATAAATCTCTCGCAAATTATCAGGAGCCAAGTACATCAATGGGCAGCACTGAAATCAGCCCCTACTGTATAAAGTAGGAATGGGAGCCACGCAGATTACTACTAAACAGGTAAATCAGTGGGAGGGATACTGCCGGGGGACACTTCACGTCTCCCTTTCCCAAATACAGGTGTTCATTTCCATATTTGATGAGTGTTTTGACGAAATAAATTTCTGTAAAACTAGCGAGGAATAATGACAGAGAATTTGTTAAATAGAAACCATCCACTAATAAGTCTGTTATGATATCAACAGTATACTAAACAAGATCACAAGACAGCTGAAAAACTGAATATATCGAGTATATTATTAGCAAGAAAAGGTATACATTACTTTATCTAAAACCTTAAAACAGATGTGATATTACCCACACCATCGTACTCATGCGTTCTATCTACTCCGTATGAAATGGCATACCTTGCAAATAAGAACGTTTTCAGTTGCACGTTCTTTCCTTTCTATCTTCTCCATCCCCTGGACAAAACCGCGTATCTTCCCAAGCTATAATCATGATGTTCTTTTTGGAGAAGGATCTCGTCTCCCTGTTCCAAATACAGGTGTTCATTTCCATATTTGATTAGTGTTTTGACGAAATAAATTTCTGTAACATTAGCTAGACATGACTGAGAATTTGTTAAACAAGAAACAGCCACACTAAAAAGTCTGTAATGATATTAACAGATCACTGGACAGCTGAAAATATATCGAGTATGTTCTGTCAGTGTTATTAGCAAGAAAAGGTATACATCACTTTAAAACCTGAAGACAGATGTGATATTACCCACACCATCGTTATCATGCGTTCTATCTACTCCGTATGAAATGGCATACCTTGCTGATAACGTTTTCAGTTACACGTACTTTCCTTTCTATCGGCTGGACACAACCGCGTATCTTCCAAAGCTATAATCAAGTATATATTTGGAGAAGGATCTCGCGAAGAAAAGGCAGGTTTCTATATAATTTCTCATTCTTCATAAATAATACCACTATGAATATAAAGTAACCTATACACACTATATACAATTAAATAACATGTGAAAAA